CCTAATAAGCATGTAGCACAGCGGTTTCCTTGAATGGTGCAACCCTTCTTCATCCTGTCAACAAACAACGGCAAACTAGCTCCTTATGCGATACAATACCGCTACTAATTTTTGTTCAATCGACGAAATGCGACGCAGTCAGTCCGTCGCAACCGTCGCCTCGCCATAACTCGTGAACAAATGGATTAGGTCATTCGAAAGTTATACCACTGGATAGCTCTGCTCACGAAGAATCCAACGGTTTAGAGGACTATTGAGTTCCTCTGAATTTTCGCTTCATTTTCATGAAATTTATCAAATTACCTGAGGCTGACTCATTAGCGAGCGTCGCTCGCTATAATTATAACCAGAGGGGAACAGATATTAATAGTAGTATTTAGCGAGTAATAAAGTTATTATATTACTCCTATGTAAAGTGAAAAAGAGACTGTTGTGTTCTTCAGATGGTGCTCGTCATTTTGATACCGAATTCATCCCAGGTGGGTCAGCTTTGTTGAATCATTTTTGCATGGAAAAGCTCCTTTGAGCCGAAGTATAGTAAAAACTAATAGGATCTGAGCCTTGTCACTTGACGTTCCTTTTCTACAGAGCTCACCCCATTGACGAGAAGTTTTTGAAGTTCCTACCTAGCACCGGCTGTCAATTTCGAGGCCTTGAATCAGAGCGAAATTCACATTTTTTCATGGAAAGAAAACAGTACAAAAAGTATACCATTGAATCCTCGAAAAAATGCTTTTCATTAATATGAATTTCAAGTCACAAAATTCTCTGTGCTTTTTCGAGTTTCATCGCGGCCATCTCTCCTGCACTAACCATTCTACCTAATTAGGCGTCTCGCCGAGCCGCTGACCTCCAGATCTCTCTCAATTACCAGAGGGCTTTTGTCGCACCTCAAGATCAACGAGAGAATGGTAGGACTGCGTTATTTTTCTATGAACAGCAAATCATCGAACTTAGCTAATTCAAAATAGATCACTGTGTGCCACGTTTCTGTTGGGAGGTCATAGTGTGCCTCACTTACTATAATATTATTACCAAATCGTGACCCACTGAGTGAAGCGTGACTCACTTTCTCCCGTTGGTTCCCATGAAGTGGGAAGTGGAGGGGGGAGCAATCATGATAAAAAATAGAAAGATTGATGATTTGCT